CCGAGACGCCCGGCCGTCACCTGCGTCCTGGGCCGCGCCGCCCGCGGCCCCCGAAACTGACCCGGGGCTGGGAGAACGCCCTCTGGGCTGAACCGGTGGCGAACCCTCCAAACACTCTCGAACGGTGGCAGCCCACACCTGGCTTCAGACGTGGAGCACCGAGATCAAGTGCCCCGGACCCTGCCGGGTTACTGCCATGCACTTAACCCACTCTTTCCGTTTCCAGCAAAATCCAGAAACACGGGCCACGAAAGAATGGGCACACGCATGGAAGGGACCTGTGCGCGAGCGGGCGCGCGTGTGCAATAACAACTTTTAAACAGAAAGAAAAAGGGAAGGAGGGAGGGAAGCGGAAGGGTCGGATGCCCGCTCTTTGCGGGAAGGGTCACCCAGACTCTATCAGGGAACCACCTGCACCCCAAAGCGAGTCTTCCGCTCTTTGCTGGAACAGTGAGACTTCTTCCTCCGGACTTCAATTCCGTGAGAATGCAAAGTATTGTTTTGCATTAGCCGTTTTCCCCATCAGATATCCATTAGAAATTCTAGTACAATATTTCCTATTAAAACAGTTCAGCAGGAAAACAAACAACAAACAAACAAACAAAAAACTACAGCGAGACCCCACAGAAGAAGCGATCAGAAAAAGGAAATGTGTCCCTTTGCTAAGGAATTGGAAGTTTAGTCCCCCGAGGTTAAGTTAAGGTGGGGGGTTCCTTCGTATTTTATTATGATTTTTGTCATTTATTCCTTCAAATGCTCAGCCTTGACAAGCCTTTCCCCTGCCGAGGTGCTCCACGGCAGAACGAAGGAGGCGTGCGGAAGGAGTCGGTGGGAGGCGGGGGCGCAGATAAACAGGATTCGCTTGGCAGGGGGCTGACCCGCCGCGGTCTACTCTGCTGACCAGCAGGGGGCGCTCTGATGTTATCTCTGGACGAGACCGCGGGGCCTCTCAGAGCTTGTAAGACAGGCTTGGCAGTTTCTCGCAGCTGAAAAGAAAGGGGAGGAGGGACTGCAGCTCCCAAACCCTCAGCAGCTATTCCACTTGGGTTATTTACCCTGGGTTTGAAATATATCTACGTCTCACTTTACCCACCCATCCCGCTTATAGTTCACCCCCTCCCTAGCAACCTCTTTGTTTTCATCTGTATCCATGCTGCACGTGTATAATCTCTGTAGCCTTGAAATATACATTAATGCAACGTATTAGAGGCAACGATGAATAGTCAACATTTTTTTCGCCTGTTGGTTCCGCTGATCCAAGCAGGATTTATTTGCAGATCTCACAACCCTGAGCCATAACGCGTGATCCCCCCCCCACTTAAATAAAATTGGTCAAATGTTGACAACCTTTAAGCCAATCTAACACTCAAGATTAGTGATGGGAAACTAATGAGAAAATATCAGATCGCCCGGCCCGAGGGCTGCCAATTAAATCTTCGCTGATTGAAAAATAAAAGCGGACTTGGGGTGTGAGCCCAGTTCAACTTCAACTATTAATCTAACATGTTGCCGGGGTGCGTGCCTCCTCTCCTCTAAACTGCTAGAGCTTCCTCCCCTCTCATCCCTCAACCTAAAAGCCAAAGCTTATTTCTCAGAATATTTCAAGAGGCTCAAATCAGAATGATCATTTCTTACACGGTAAATATTAGGCCTTTAAGCAATATGATTTAACTAATTAGAAAATTTACATCATTAAGTCTTGGGGAGAGAAAAAAGAGAAACAAATCTGCCAGTCATTTTAAAGGAGACAGGCACTATTGAAGTGTGAAGAAATGGGCTCTAATTCAAAAAGGCAATCGGGCAGAAAAAGCCCTCAACATTACCCTGCTAGTTATTAATCAGAAAGGGCTCTCTCTCCTCCCCATACCCCCGCCCCTCCATCCTCTGAGTTTAAGTTCATTTTTTTGCCAGTGGCCCATGTTATATTTATATTGAGGTTTTGGTCTGCTAAGGGATTAAAATTTGAAAATGTTTCAATATGAGGGAAACAGGACCCTCAAAGGGAAAAAAAATATTCTCAAGATCACCTCTCTTCCAAACAAGTAAACTTGTTATAATAAACAATTCTCACCCCCTCTTTGGTGTGTTTTTTAATTCTTTCTTCTTTCTTCCATTAAGTTCCTATTTTGAAACCTGCTTGGTGAGAACTAGATAAAGTCTTTGTGTTCTGCTCCCCTCCCCCTCCTTTCTTGCACCTCCTCAATTGGCCAAAGGGAGAAACTTAGACTGAAAGCAGAAAAGTACAAATACATTAACAAAGCCCCACTCACTTGGTAAAAAGGCTGTGGTCTAGGCTTAGATGTCAGGAATCTAAGGGAAGAGGGGTCTGTCGGTGGGTCTACAGATAGAAGATGAGGAACTAGAAATTTCCTCCACCTGTCTTCTACTGCACAGAATATGTGGTTAGAGAAAAAAGCAAGGCAGGTAGGTGAGAATTATTTTAAAGTGCACAGTGGTGCTGTGTGGCTTTTTGTCTATTCCACTCACTTTCTATTCATCTTAAAACAGCAGCCTCATTATATCTAGGTGCCCCTTCCCATAATACTCTTTCTTAAGCCCTCATACACCACACACGTAGCCCATTCCCCGGTCTGCTTATTCCCAGCAAATTAGCTGAAGAGGGAACAGCAAAAGGAACTCTGTGAGGACTTGGTTCAGTTTGGAAATTCAGGCCCTCACTGGCTTCTCTGAGGACTCGCTTTTAAATTACACTGGATTTCAAAAAAATAGTAGCAAGCCATACATATTCACTTTCCCTTTATTATTATTTCTTCTTAAATGCTAAGACAAGGTCCCAGAGGCTCATTTTTCTGCCACACCTTATTCTTCTCTCACTCTAGCCCACTCTAGCTTCATCCATTCTCCCCTCTGCCTTCCCTTTTGGAAAGTTTCACCACCTTGCTTCCCATCAAGTCTCTGGGCCTTGACATTCTCATCTTTGGGCTTTTATGGGCCTGCCTGGAGCAGCTCTCCCACCCTCAGGAGCCCAGATTCCAGCTTTGCAGGACAGAGCAGTAGCAGGTCTGAGCTATTAACACACAGCAGTTAATTCTCTGCGGGAACTTTTACTAGGTGGGACGTGTGCAGGGAGAGAACATCTGTAAACAGTGTGAGCTCCTGAGGGTGGGGAGCTGTCGCTGACACACAGGCCAGAGCACACATAAAACGTGGCAGAATTTGTGAAAGAGCCAGTTCTGAGCTGCACTTGGGAGAAATAAGAGAGAAGGAGGAGGGCACTTCGAAGAGAGTAGAACGCGCTCTCCCAATGCACCTCCTTTTCGGGCCCTCCCGGAGCAGCTGTGAGGTTTCCAAGTGCTTCCCTTGGGGGAAGAAGAGAGCGAAAAGGCTCGGGTCACTTTCAGAGGTGGACTCAAAGGTGAAAATACCCAAGACTATGGCCTCTGGCTCCCCTGGCCGGATCCGCACCCTTTGCTGGCCCTTTTAGCCCTTTGGAAAACTCTCCTTACCTTTGTTCCTCGATTTGATTTGAATGGATGCTCCTGGGCTAGGTTCTCTGAGAGGGGGGAAAATCCACAAGAATCAACCGGTCTCCTGCATCTAGTCCGAAGTCAAGAAGCATTACAGTGAAATTTACAGCGCCGTTAACAACTCGCAAGTAAAGCATTAAAATTCTCTTTAATTGAGAAAACATTGATTTTTAAGTCTAGAAAAAGCGAAACCGTAATTTAGGTACAAACTTTCAGGCGAGAATACAGCTTATTATGTCGCGGTACAATGGATCCACCCTTTACACCCATGCCACAGCACATCTTTAATTGCACTACTTTATAAAGTGATAAAGACAAAAGATAATGCGACTAAGGCAAACACTTTATATTTTAAAAAGGGACCTAGAGTAATTTCTTTTTCCCGTTATTTGTCATAAAGATTGTCTCCGTTTTTAAAACAGAAGGGTGGAATACCCCAAGGGGAGGAAAGAAATAGAAAGAACGGAAGACCACAGAGCAGTCTAAGAGCAACTCACATTAGCAAATCCGTTGATATTCTCTACCAAAGGAAGGTTGGAGCCAACACGTTTAGAGAAAATGCATTCAGGGACAAAACTGCATCCTCCTTGAAATGAAACAAACCTAGGTCTATTTTCTTACTTTATTCCTCGTCCATGGGGGGGTGGGGGTGCAGAATCCATTGGTGGATTGAGAAGGGAAAGCAAAATCAGGCTTTCTATGTTATTTCTGTATCGGTTTTTGGTATTATAGAGGAGTAAAGAAGTTTTTGTGTGGTGGTTTTTCATTGATCAGTCACTCTGAGCTAATGTAATTATCCTCATCAATAGGAGGCTGCAGAGAGAATCATTATGTGGGTGACATTGATAAATGATCGCCCAGGAACGGCCCTCTCGCGGGCAACCCCCACGTCTGACCCTCCCACACACACAATGTAGTCATAGAAACACCTAGAGGACCAGGGACAGAGGGAAGAGAAAGCCCGCGGAGGCCGGGTGGGGGCGGGGCGCGGGGCCCCTCCGAACCCCTCGGCGACACCCACAGCCAGCGGAGGGGGACCCTGTTCCCGCGCAGTTGCTTACAACAAAGTGCCGATCCGACCTCCAGACGGGCCCATTCCTCCACACCTCTCCCCACGTGCGAGCCCACCACCACCACCCTCTGATGTCTGCCGAGACGCACACTTAAACGGGTCTCTGCCGAGGAGTTGAACAAACGGGTCACAAACTTGTAGGCATCTGATTCTCACCAGAGGCCCCCTCTCCGTTAAAAACAAAACAAAAAGCAAAACAAAACCCAAACGACAAACAAACCAAACCGATTTGAAATAAAACAAAGACAGCAGCTGGGTGAAACCCCCAGTTATTTCCTGGGTGACCCCCTTCCTTTCTCTTCACCACCTCCTAACCCAGTGCCTCTGATAATGAGATCATGGATTTTTGTTATTGTTCCTGTCCAGGGAAAGAAAGAAAAGACGAAGAAGAAGAAGAAGAAAAAGAAAAAGAAGAAGGAAAAGAAAAGACCCCCCCCACCCTTTCCTCTTCGACTGCTTTATTTAAGCCAGTGGGAAAGTATGGAGCGCTGTAATTGATTCATAATGATCCATAAGTCGATGTTGGGAAGCGGGGGTAGGGTGGAGGTGCACGGAAAGTAAGGGGGGCCGGTGTTGTTTATTTATTTTATTTCTAAAGCTTCAGCCAAAGTAGCTTTGACACTGCTGGGGCCGGAGGGGAGGGGCGGCCGGGCCCCGCGGATCATCCATCATCCCTGTCACCCAGAGTCTGCCCGGAGGAGCCGCAGACGCAATCTCCCTTCTGTCTCTACAGCGAAACTATTAATATTAAAGCCTCCCTTCAAACAGCGCCCCGACGGCCTCCATTCTCCTCGCAGCTGACCGGCTGCCCGGCCCGCGCCTCTCCCGCACGGCCCCTCGCTGCGCC